GGGATTTCCAAATTGTTCAAACCTTAAAGAAAAATATTTGGCTCCTCCTTTTGGACGATGATTTAAAAACTCCTTAGAAGTAACGGGACTGTCCATGCATGACGTTAATCGTTCTCCATAAGCAAGTCCGTCTGCTCGTATGCCGTCGTATCCTAAATTTTTCTTAGTTATTCTTTTTTTATGTCATAGTTCGGCAAACGAACATACGGATTACCTGGTGGTGAGCAATCGGCGCCGCCTATGGACACTCCTAATATAAAAAGAGTGGCTAAAATGCATTGCCAGCCTCTTCTGGAATTTTAGGGATTTATGGATTGGGGAATTTGAGGAACACAACAACAATGTTGCTTTACGACATCTTTCTGTTCTTTCTACGTTTCAAGTTATGACTGTTATATTATATATCGCAGTCATGAATAAAGACTAGAAAAATGTTTACGGTACAGGAAAACTTAGTGAATGAACCTAAACAGAATTATTTACCTAGATTTTCCTCCGAAATTCCCACAACGTCTTTTGCGACGTCACATTGAACAAAACCATTGTTACTCATCGTTGCGATGGTCATCAAACCAGAAAGTCATCGTGAACAATTAGTTACGTAGAGAGAAATAAAACTTAGATATTGTTATTATGTAAGTAAATAATATTTAGTTATACTCGAATGCTTTAACAACACAAGCTGTTCCAGGGATGCAGGTGCAGACACCATAATGTACCAAAACCTGAACTGCAGCAGGAGAAGCATTGGGATTGTTTAAGTCAGTTATAGAGTCTGACGCTTACTTATGACCCACCCAGGGTAAGACAATTTATTTGATGAATTGCCCCCTTTAAAAATAGCGCATAGATTTTGGAGTTCAGTACCTACAGACAGACTGCTTTTTGGCAAAGAAATCTCCTAGTGCCTACTTTTATCAAGATCAGAAATTAACAACCGCAGCGTTGTGTTGAAACAATGAATTTATTTTTGCAAATAGGCCATAAAACGGCACTTTTACACGTCAAATTATATGTGAAAAACTAGATGAAGCCGGCATTTTGCATGTTGCGCCGTGAGTGGTGTTATCGGAGGTCCAATCCTTATAGAAGGTTGGCAAATCTCTCGTTACTCCTCTGGTGTTGCGGTTGTCATTGGGAGGCACCAATTGCTTACCACAAAGTAATCGGTCTGTTCATTTCCAATCTATCGCAGTAAGTACAAAGTCTGGATGACATATTTATCTCTAATATCTAAATAGCGAATGGAACTGCTGGCAGTTGAATATAGTACAATCAGGTAGATCACGTTCCACGTAGACGTCTCGACCTTATAGAAGGCAAGCGGCTTTGCTAAATATATCGAGCGATGAACAATACTGTGGCACTTATTACGTTTACCTACAGATATGAACGCGGAACTATTATCTAGTGCTTCATATCCCTGAAATGACGAACTTGCAGTACTGCGTTAAATGTCAGAGTCATCACCATATGTACTTATGAAGGCTCACCTACAAGATTCTTGACCACGTTAAGAGTGAGAGAGCCTTGCTTCAGCACGAATGGGTTGGCTCGACCGGAGTGAACCTACGGCCTCACAGAAAACCGGCTTGAATCAAGCACAGCGTTGTATTTCGTTGTAATTGAGGTTACGAGAGGCCTAAACCTTCCCCAATCGCTAAATCTCCGGAATCCTAAATTCAAAAAGCCAACAACGCACTCGTAATTTCTCTGGTGTTACGGGTGTCCATGGACGCGCTGTATACTGTATTGCTTACCATCAGGTAATCAACCAGGTCATTCACCGTCCTATCACTTTAAAAACTTAACTATAAAAAATGATAGATTCGCAGTAACATAGTAGTGACACAGTAAAAACTAAGTATGCTTAAATGTTGGGGACTATGCAACGGATTATAATGTTTTTAATAAATAGAGTGATTAAAGAGGAAGGTTTATATGTATAATTTTTATATAATTATCATTCTAGGAAATACTGGTTCGAATTGAACAATTTGAGCTCGATAGTCAAAGGCTATCAAAGCACTACGCCCAACTAAAGCCGAACACCGCGTTCAACAGAATGGAAATATTTAGTAATCACAATGAAAAGTTTCCCAAGATCGTAAACAGTCAACTCTAGGTGCTCGTGTACGTACAATTTGACATTCACTGAACTGGCACGTGAGTTGTAAATTTATGAACATGTCCAGTGGCATACTATTAAATTTGTCAGCAAACATTAATGTCAATTATAGAGTTTCATGACCTTTGGCGATTGCGGTCAGTCGCATCGCATCACGTTTTTGGATAACAAACGGATAAGATTACGAGACGACATAGATGAACTGCTAAATTATGTTCGCGATAATCTCTAACTGATGCTTGCAAACACAGGAGCTTTGAGGAACGCAACAGTCTCGCCACCAAAAGTTTAGAAAACTATCCTGTGGTAAATTTACTGAAAATAATCTCATTCATGAGCCGTGGTGACTTAAAATTCTTACTAGATAGCACATTTTTTTATGTACCTAATAGGTCTGCAAACGAGCAGACGTATTACCTGATGGTAAGTAATCAGCGCCGCCCATGGACACCCGCAACGGAGGAGTTACGAGTGCGTTGCCGACCTTTTAGGGATTAGGGATTGGGATTCGGGGTGGGGAAGGATTGGGCTTCCGGTAACCTCACTCACACGGCGAAACACAACGCTGTGTTTGTTTCACGCCGGTTTTCTGTGAGGCCGTGGTATCACTCCGGTCAAGCCGACCCATTCGTGCCGAAGCATGGCTCTGCCACACTTATCATTGTTCTCAGTTAATTCAAGTGAGAAATTATGTATTTTAATAAAATAAAGCTAGGATCTATATTTTGTTTGTGGTCGGCACGTCTATATTCGAATACAGAATTTTTTATTCCTTGTAGTAAATTTCATATTTCGAGCTATTAGGTGCCTGTATACTACCTATATTTAAAAAAAGAACTGACTTGGCTATGCCTATTGACGCCTGTTAAGACCGCCGAGTAAGGGATATTGGGTTTCATATTCGTGTCCATATTACGTATTCTGGGATGCTCATGTGAGGTAGCAATTGAGGCTGTGGGCGTTATTGTACCCAATAAGTGACGAAAAGTGGGTGATACACCGACCATTTAGGATATGTTTCATGATTTTTATATAAGTAATATTATAAAGAGGTAAAATTACTAAGTTTGTATGTAGGGTGTAATCATTGGAACTGCGGGTCGGATTTCCAAATTTTGTTCACTGATAGATAGTTAAAATGTTCCTGTGTGTTATAGGCTTGAAATTATACATAATTTGCGTATTTCAGTTTCATTGATTTTTCGCTTTAAACGCTGAAGTTTTAAGAACACTGGGATATATACATATACATTACATTAATATACGTGCGAAGCCGCGGGCGAAAGCTATTATCCGATAGACTTATGTAGCAGATATATCGATACAAATTACATTCTACGTTCTATATTTGAATTTTCGAATTTTATATGACTGACGCCCGGTTTCTAAAAGGCTTGTCAACGCTAAAATTAACTAATCTCCTGTTTAATCTCTTGTCAAGTCATCTGACTGGTTGTTGATAATTCAGTCAACCAATCAGATGACTTGACAAGAGATCAAATTGATTTTAACATTGATCGGCCTTTCGGAAACCGGGTGTAAGTATGAGAAAACAAGCCCTTAATAGGCGAATCTCTGTCTCCCTTTTTGGTTTAAATAACATGAGTGAATGATGCTATATTGATGTACTCTACACTACAAAATAAGCAACAAGTTGGTTCCTACAAATAAGTACCTATGTTGCCATACAAGAAAGAAAAAAAAAACACTATGTAACGTCAAAAACATATCACGTGACTAAAAAAAATGACAAAAGAATTCAGACAAGTACCTAGCAACAGTTGATTAACATAATTAATTAGGTACCTACCTATTTAGATAGGTATTAAGTACTAGGTACAAAAACTAGGCCAAAGACTGCATTAGGTAATCGGTCTTAACTACATAGTATAAAACAAAGTCGCTTTTTCTGTGCCTATATCCCTATGTGCGCTTAAATCTTTGAAACTACGCAACGGATTATGATGCGGTTGCGTTTTTTTAATGGATAAATGGAAAAGATAAAGTACCTATTATACACGCAAATCTTCCTCTTCAGGAAGATTTGCGTGTATAATACTTTATCTTTACACGCATATCTTCCTCTTCAGGAAGATTTGCGTGTATAATACTTTATCTTTACACGCATATCTTCCTCTTCAGGAAGATTTGCGTGTATAATAGCATCCATTAAATAGGGAAGAAATTAATTTAGTCGGCATTGCACCCGTGAGAAGCCGGCGTTTGTCGCTAGTATATTAGTACCTACTTAAAAGAAATACCTACCTATTTTTTATATTTAAGTATTTTAAGTAATTATTTTTTTTAGTTTTAGATAAGAAACAAAATAATAAGTAGGTATTTATTTAACCTGAAGTCTCAGTAATAAAGAGTCTCGAAGGAATATTTGGAAAGATAAGAAGATTTGACTTTTATCGTACCAAAGGACCAAATTCGTTAAAAGCCGAGATTTTTTATTGGGTAATTGTCGGCTTAAATTCTTAAAGGTTTATGTAGATATTATCTACGTATTACGCAGTGGGCAAAATAAGGAGCTATAAGTGCTTAATGTTATGTAGGTATACTTAACTAATAAACAAAAATTTTAGTTTTACATGACAACTAGCTGAGAATTGGCGTTTGCTATTTATTTAGGACGTTCTGTAAATTAGAAACGCTAATGTTTTAAGAAAACTTTTATGTTTACAGTTTCAATTTTATAAGCGGCGCGATGTGATTAACAGGCCAACTAGGAAACGTTTTTCATGCTTAGAACCAACTAATAAATATTCCGTGGTAGTTTCAAGTAAGTACTTAATTTCAGAAAAATAATAATAACATCTAACGAATAATATTTTTTTAAGTCATTACCATAATTATAGCACTTACCTACCTCAGTGGATGATATAAAAACTGTTTGGTTCCAATTAGTGCTGACACAAAACAACAATGCACATTTTCATTCGAAAAAAAAGAAAAGAGCGGGAAATAATTAAAGTTCGGCGCACTTCCAAGTTCAAGCGGATATGATGCACAAAAACACTTTTTTCTTTCAAGTTTTTATAGTTTATACACTCGATACCACTAAAGTACTGCGCGTGTAACCACAAGGATTGAATAAACGACAGTGCGTAAACAATATCGTGTTATGAATGCGGTTCTGGCGCGAACGTCCGAGGTTATTATCAAAGGCTATTGAACGGGGACGGTAATGTCAAATGTTGATATTAACGCCATCTATGAATTGTTTTATGAACGAAAATGTGTGTTTGAGCTACGTCAAGGTAATAATGATATTTTTACTGTGGCTACCTACGTTTTATGAAGTCTCAAGTCCTAATGCGTTGCCGAATTCTACGAAATGTTTGAACAAATATCATATTTTTTTAATGTATCCTGTTAAAGAAAACAACGTTTATTCACACAATGTTTCACTGACGCGTTGCGTGTACATTTTGAATGAATATAGTACCAAGTTTACAGGCGTCACGTTAACTAGTATTTAAGTTTAGTGTTGAAACTTGTAATAGGTACATCACGAAAGAAGTTTAAAATGATTTATGTCGTTGATATAAGAGTACATTGTAGCCGAAAACAGAACCATGCCCCAAGTTAATTAAATATGTATATACTACAGCCAATGGAGTAACTACGGAGCCTAGCAGCAGATGAAACTGGGTGGGAGTTGCTAGTATAATAATAATAATATCAATACCCCAAAGATCAAATCTTTGGACAATTCACACCATTTAGTTTCTTATGTAACTAATGAGCAAGGCATGATTTAGATAATAGAAAAAACATTAAATTGTATGCATTGATATCAATATCAATACAAATTTTTAAATTAATTCATAATATGTGAATAATTCACAAATAATAAAAAGTTTTGTGTAAATCTTATCATTTATTTATTACAGTACATTTCAATCCACCTTAAAAAAACAGATGCAAACATACTAGTAGCTTAAGATTAAAGTTTTTGGAGAACACTGGAATTTATACCAAAGGCATTCTGTCTAAGGTAGATTACTTGCCGGCAGCAGTGGCGAGCGGGTTTCTTAATACTAGGATCACTGAGTCTCCACGGAGGAACATCTTTGAGATAAATCTATCCTTGTTGACTGCTTTGCCCTGTAAAATAAACAATAGGTGTTAGAAATATAGATGCTTTTAAGAAAGATTTTCTTTTTTTTATAATTTCTAGTGTTTTAGTGTGGATGTTTATAAAGAAGTCTGCAAGTTTTTAAAGTAAATGGGGATGCACTTATAGTATTAACTAAATATTTTTTCTTGACATCCTACCAATAAATAAAGAAAAATGTTTGATACTAAAGAATATTAGCTACATTTTATTGAAATCTAGAATATAACGGGATACTTTTTATCCTAGTATTGCCAGCAGAGCCTTTGGTAGAAATTTATGTAACAACTCAAACATAAATAGAAAAGTTACTGACTCACTATTTGGCAAAATCTGTTCTTTTAACTTAAACAATGATGCAATGTAAATAACATATTTTTATAAGCCCTTATGGACTATTCGCAAGGAGTATACAGTATTTTGTCCATAAGCATTTACACATAAGTGTTAGGCTTAAGAGTTTGTTTTAATATGTATTATGTGATAAACAAATTGATAAAAATAGTTTGCTAGGTGTTTATATCAACTTGTTGATGTAAAAAATAGTATACATATACTTGTTGCTCAATATAATATGTAAAACTTATTAATAATTCACTATCTAAGTGTACATTTATAGCTAATACCAGACTACTAGGACTATAACTTGCAGTAGTCAAATAGATAACCTACAAATCTTTAGACAAAACTCTTTATCAAAGAAAGTTGTGAATAAAATATGGATACAGCTTTAAATACATAGGATTCTTTACCTTCTTGCCTTTGCCTAGCCTGGGCACTTCTGTCCACATTTCCTTAACGTTCTCAAGTACCATGTTGCAATGCCGGTCGAAAGCCTTGACACGTCCAAGCAGCTTTTTGTTGTTACGGCAGTTGATAAGCACTTGTGTATTGTTCTTTACAGACTGTGTGAGCACTGAAAGAGGTCCCGTACTGAATTCTTCCTCTTCAATCTTAGCTAATTCCTCTAAAGTCATCTCTGAGCGTGGTTTGGATGTTGTCGCCCTAAAACAGTTATTTCACATAAATAAACAATTGATGAGGCAAAAATTTACAAATTCACCGTTCTTGAATGTTTTACTTACATTTTGAAGTGTAATTTATAACTTTATTTGAAGAAATTCTAAAGAAAACGCAACAAGCAAACAAATTCAATTCACACAATTTGACAAAACACGCTTATCAATTTTTTTATAGACTGACAAGTAAACATGGGTACGGGCCTTTTGAGATAGATTCGATATTGCCAGTTTATAAAACAATATTTACCTCATAGGGACTGCATTTATTTTCTTACTTCATAAAATACTATATAAAGAATGTTAGAGATATAAATAAAAAACAATTTGGGACAGCCAAGGTTGAGCATCAATGAGTCGGCTCGACCAGAGTGATACTTACACACAGCGCTCAGCGCTTTGGTAGGATTCTAGTGCCATTTAAGCATTTGTGCCGGTTAAGAAACTACATTAAAGCAATAACAATACCTATTTCTACATTGGTATTTATAATATCTTATAACTCGTAGCTTCCGTTGTATAAAAACATTTGGGAAAACTTATTCTTATTCATTAAAATTTATTATTCTATGTTCAGTTCCTTCCAAGCGTAATAAAAACCTTGGCATGCTAAATTATTCTATAGGTTTGTCTTTCTTGATCTTAAGAGACAATCAAAGCCTACTTTCTATTTATGATTGATTTCTAGTATTAAAAAAAACTGAATTTAGCGTAGAAAGATATTTGGATGAATTATGAATTCTGAAAGTTTTCTCGTACTTGGTTGTAAAATAGTATTTGGTTGTAAAGTAGTAGTAGGTAGCTGCGTTGTTAGTCGTGGAAATTTCGTCTTTTAGCAGTTAAACAGTCTTAATTCTTATTTAGTTTTATTCTGTTTAGGGCTTGGCACCGACTTCAAACCTATGAATAGGTAGCACATAGAATTGATAGTGTATTATTAATAATATTAAAAGTATTAGCTTCGCGTACGTAAGAGTGCTATTAAAATATCAATTTCAATTACTTATTTGACACTTTTTTGTTTTTGAAGTCGGTTTTTTTAAACGTAGTTTTTTTATTTTTTTCTTTTTAGTGTCTGTGCAAGTTCTTCTGTAAACTACAATAATATTTTAAATATAAATTAACATATTGAATAGTATATATTTTTAAGTATCTATGTGTAGGCCGACGAAAGGAGCCGCCCGATTAAAAAATATGCACATGGCCCATCATCATCATCAGCCATTTTAATGTTTCCACTACTGGGACACAGGCTATCTCTCTAGGAGAGGGAAAGTTCTTAACAATACAAATAAATTAAGTCCAAACACGAGGTAGCTACTGTAAACCGTTGAGGAGTTCCCTAGACTGTCGTTTGTCTTCATCATCAGATCCCTAATGACAGTCACAATCCATCAAGGTGTAAAGTTCTCATCAAAACGAATAAATTAAGCTCAAACACAACGAAGCTGCTATGAATCATTGAGGAGTTCTCTCGACTGTCTCTCGTTTCCATCCGGAATTCCCTCGACGGTCAATTGTCTCCATCATCAGGTAAACTGCAGACCTTCAGTTGTTATGATACATACCTACAGGTACAAAGTTTTCATCAATATAAATGAATTAAGTTCAAACACGAAGTAGTTACTGTAAACCGTTCAGGAGTTCCCTGAGCTGTCCTTCGTTCTCATCATCAGACCCTTAATGACAGTTACGACCAAGCCTGCTGCAAAGTGCTCGCCAATACGAATCATTCAAGCCCAAATACAAGGCAATTACTCCAAATAGTCAAGGAGATCCCTCGACTGTCTTCCAGCTCCAACATATGGTCGACTTCGACCTTCGTCAAGTTGTAGTGTTGTTAAAGGCCTAATTAAACATCATACAAAATGGCAAGTATACCCTATCGAATAAAAAAAGAATTTTGCAAATCGGTCTAGGCGTCTTCGAGTAATCGGTGTACATACATAAAAAAAATACGCGTCGAATTGAGAACCTCCTCCTTTTTTGAAGTCGGTTAATAAACAAAAGTATGTACCTATAAAATAAAACAAGGAAGTTTCGTGAAATATTTTTATTTATCATTTTTTTTTCTGTAATAATAAGAAATGAAGTATTCAACTAGCTTTTAGTTACTAATTTCGATATAATAATTCAATATACTTATAATTCACAGTCTTGGAATAAAAATAAAGGCTAAATTTTAATAATAGACATTGCCATTTTCATTCAACATTTTTTTCACTTGCAACACATTACGTAAACTTTTTTTTAAAGGGAACAAGCAAAGAATATAGTCTGCGTACCGGGACCACCCATACATAAATTTCTTTGGTTATATTTACAAATATTTATGTACTTCACATTCAAAACTTAAATTATCACAACTACAATAAAATAACTACACACTTTCAAAGTCAAAGAAAAAGAAATAGACAAAGTTCTTTGAAAAATAAATTTTTACAAAATACTACATAAGTCCAGTACGCAAAATATTAATGAATTGTAATTTTAAATGCAATATTATGGAGACATATAGCAGGCAGCACACTCAGCTACCCCAAAACTAATTTTTTTTCAAACAATAATCAACCTTTATAATAATTGTCTTAGAATAGACAGCCTGGGAAAGCTTTGAAAAAAAGTAAATACTATTGTTTCTCCTATTGACAAAATACTCATATTTTTACTGAAAAACTTTTAAAACAATCAGAATATGAATTTTACTATTGAACTATAAAAAAAATACACTGTTTAATATTTCTGCTTCGTTGTGTTAAAACGTGGACGAAAATTTAATTTTAATCGTTTCCAAAAATACGTTTAATTCACTGATTCACTGATCACAGAGCAGTAATGAATGGAGTTCTTGGATTTAAGTTCTTGGATAAAAGTTCTGAAAATAAAAAAGACTTAACAGTATTAAGCCTTTTTTATCTAATATTCTCAATAACAATCAACATTCTCAATAACATAAGGACTCAAAACTTTTAAACCTACCTACCTACCTAAAGGTATGTCAATTTTCTTATTACAAAAAATATGAAGCTGCCTCTGTTGTTGTTTAGTTGCCAATAAACATTATTTATCTGAATGACGGAAATGTACTTTTCCGATTCCCGGAAACGCAGCGAGAGCTCTGATTCATTACCTCTTAGTCTGTGATTCTCAATGGAGGCTGGCGATTTTCGTTCACTAGATGGCGCAAATCTAGCAAGAAGACAATTTTGGCCAATCATAAAGTTGTCAAAATTTTAACGTCCAATGGCGGGACACTGGCTCATCTCCCGACGAAATAACGAGAAGTTACATTAAGGCCATCTGGTGCGGAAAAACGGTAGCCTCCATTGCTTGTATATGTAAAACACGCCAACAAAACTATTGCTTAAATATTTATAACAATAATAGACATTACAATGAGGTTTAGTTCGCGACATCCAGCACCATATATTTGTACCAAGCTGTGGCAGTGTTTAAGACTATGGACGACAATATTATGCATTTATTTAATTAATTATTGCATTTATCCGATTAAAGCATGTCGTTTATTTGGTCATGTGCAGCGTTTTATGTGATTTTTATTAAGGAAAATTAAGTAGCTTAGTTAAACACGAACTACGTGTGTAACAACTTAAGGCCTTTGTGACTCACTAGCGCCAACCCACTAGCGCCAAAACGCTTTAAATTGAAACGACGAAAATATTTAATGTAAATACTTGCAAGTCACAACGGCACTTTTATTCAGAAGTTCTTATAATTTATAATGATAAGTATTTTTCTTCCTTTTTTCAGACATTCCGTAAATATCTAAAAAAAATGATAACATGAAACACCTTATTAATCCTAATAAATCTGCACATGACCCAACACAAATCTATCGAACCATTTTGTTTTTAACATTACAAAAATATGTTTCATATATTTATTAATCTTCTGTAAGCATTTTTATTCTGTAGCACCATTGACATTAAAGTGGATAAGAACGGATTTATATAAATTATTTATTTTAATTATAAAGCATTAACACTCAACCTAACTATACTTGCCTTTACATGTAGCCGTCTGAATAAATGAAAATGGAAGATTTGTTGAAAATGTACATGATAACCAACTAGGTACCTCAGGGGAAAATCATGACTTCTCCCGCCCAGGGTAAAGCGAAAGAGACCCCCCTGTTCCTTCTCCTGCACTGGGCCAAGGTCGCGGTTACTCATTGTCAGCCAGTGGGCAGTGTCAGCCTCTATCTGACTAAAAGCGACCCCATTCCTTTTGTTAATATTTATTGAAAAACTTGAATGTTCAAAGAGGTCGCTTGACAAGTTTACAGTTAAGACGGTGTACATAATGATTTGACTTCCTATTCTCTATCTCTATTCAGATGGCAACATAAAATATGGTAAAGGCACTAATTCTCTATAAATCTCAAACACATATAGTCTTTATAAAAATACGAATTAAGCATTATGTACCATAAGACACTTCTCATTTATATTCAATAACTTTAAGGAGAATATCTAGCCTAGTAATATTTACAGAGATCTCTTACTTTTTAAAATTAATCGTGTGGAGTTTTCAGCACAATTATGAGCTTAAAGGCCATCATATTAACAGTATTTGTTTAAAATACTTGCCGTTTTCTTTCCAATTTGAAATTCACAGACGGAAAATTTTAAGCAATGTTTAATATTTCAAAGAGTCGACTAATATAGCCAGTCTAAATGTTAAGTTGGATTGGACTGACAAGACATAACTCGACAGTAACGCCATCTAGTGTTTATAAACATTATATTATGAAGAAAATTGTGATACCAATAAATTATTGAAAGCTGGCATCGTCCTTAAAATCACAATTGTGCTGACAACTTACGATTATATATTTGTAAGTAAAATACATACAAATACTTTGAAATATTTCTACATATTACAATAATATATGTACAGAAATTTCTTACCGTCAAAAATTGCGTTTCGTTATTACAAAATATGAACACTTTTGTTTTACGCCTATGTTCGTAAGCTGCATAAGTATTAAAAATAATTTCCTTCGTTCGTTTTCGTTCTTTGCTACATCTAAGTCTCTTGTCACATTTTTAACATTTCTTGCGCAATTAATTTTAGGTTATAGTGAAATATGACTCAAGATTTGAGTGTAAAAAGAAGTCTATTGATGACATACCTATTTACTTTTGAGCCATATTTAACTCCAACTTCCTAGTGTCCAAAACTAACCAATAGACAACTCACCCTACGATTTAACTAATCACATAAAATCCTTCGTAAAAATCAGATCCTTACATATTCTGTTCAAATACCGAGTCTTCTTTCCGCTAATGGCCATATAAATATATTTACAGACTAGATAACTCAATTAAATTACTTGCCATTTGTAAATTATTTTTTTGTTACGGCAACCTCTTTGCCCAACGACTTTCTATTTTCGAATTTCTGCTGTAAACTGGCAACATTCGATGGTTTGGCCGTTAATTTTGTTTGGTTGGGTTTGTTATCTGTCCTTTGGACGACTGTGGTAGGTTTGGGGACTACTTTAGGTTTATTTTTGTTTAAATTGTCCGCTATAGCTTTGACGGAGTCTACTTTAGAAATGCCACGGTTTGTGGACGGTGTTTTCTCTGTTTTGTTTAAATTAGAGTTAGAATTAACTGGTTTAAGAGGTGGCGTGACTTTGTTCGCTTTCTTCGGCTCTGCGGGCGCCGGTCTAAGAGGCGGTCGGTTGTCATTCGGCTTCGTGGTAACCGCCGGCTTGTTTGTCACTTTGGTCGTGTCATTTGGTAGCTTATTGTTATTTATAACATCGGGTGGTTTCACATTCTTCGTATCTGGCAATGCACAGCTTGAAACCAAATCTGGACTGTTCGATAATTTCGGGTTTGAGTTCAAGTTTTTAACTACTTTTGGTGATTGAGGCACGTTTCTGAATGTGGATGTGTTTCTGAGGCCTGGTGGCGTCACTTGTCTTGCGAATGTTGGTATTTTGGAGTTCGGCCCCGGTAGAGGTGGGGCTTTATCTTCTTCTTTTGGTTCATCCTTCTTTAGATAAGTTGGTACATTGACAGCAGAAGGATGTAAGTACCCACTACTGGTCGTCGATACGTTAGATTTGGCTCCAGAATTGCTATAAACACTCTCAGGAGTTTTATAATGCTCTGAATTCATATACGTACTGTCTCTATTGGCTTCTTTATTCGCTGCCTCTTTCGCCTTCCTTTCCTTTTCTTTCTTTCTAGAAAGAGTCGATGCAGAGTAAATAGATTCAAAGTTACGATTTTGTATTTCGTTAACTATTTCTCCAAGTAGGCCCATACTTTCAGTGCTTCCAGAGTTCGATGGAATTACTTTAGGAGTATTGTATCCTTCGGGAGGAGCTTGAGGAGTGGTCTTTATGGGTGGAGGGACACCAGGTAGAGGCTTTGAGTGTTTCTCTGGACTCTCCTCAATAACAGCATAGATATTATCAGGTGATTCCTCAACTATGTGAGCTAAAGGAGCCTGTTTTTCTTCAATACAGTCCACATAGTCGGTTGATTTGATTTCAGGTTGCGGTTTTGGATTTGGTGGCGGTGGAGGTTCAGAGTTATTTGGTAATGGAGGAGGTGGGGCTGTCGGTCTTCCAACTACTGACAAAGGTCTCGGCGCGACTGGGGCCTGTCTCATAGAACCAAAGCTTTGTAAAACAGGCTTTTGACTCGCAGGAGCCCTCATGCTCTGCGCGCGGTTGACAAACGCCTTAGGATCATCCCCATCTTCAGAATCTGACACAACAGGCACAGACTTGACTGGAAGTTCTATCTCTTTTTGCAGTATAGGATTGGAGATCTGCAAATTTCTTAGAGGGACTTTGTCGACCTTGGGAACTTTAACTTGATTATTATGGTTCTTTGGTAAAGAATGACTTCTTTCAACAGGATTGCGTTCTTTCTCTTTAGGTTTGTCCTGTTTTAGGAACGACGCTATGCGGTTTAAGGAAATACCTTCTTTGACTTTCTTCGGTTCTTCTGGAAGAGGTTTTTGTGGAACTCCAGCTGAATGCATGCTTAGAGGTCTTTTGGGAAAGTCTGGGGACATTGGCACAGTTGGTGCTGCCCTCACGGGTCCTAAGGTCTTTGAACCTTGTAAGGGAGATATAAGTTCTTTTGCAGTGCACGTAGAAGCTTCTAGAATGGGGCTGGAAATCACAGGTCTTGGTGGAGGGTTGGCAGCAGTCGTTGGGACCTCATCAGTCTTTTCATTATTCATTAAAGCCTTGATCTTATTTTGAACTGTACTATTAGTGCGTTTCACTGAAGGACTGGTTTTTGGGCTGGTCTTCGTGGTTGTCGGAACCACTGGCAGAGGGGGAGCACTTCGTAAAACCGGTTTCAAAACTCCTTGGTTTACAATACTTTGACTGTTACTGCCGCTTCGATGTACGGGGGTTATTTTGGCACTTTTGTTACTAGGATCAGTTATAGTTTTAACTGATTTAGGAGCAATTGGGACCTCAGTTTCATCTTTCTCTGTAGGGGTTGATTTTTCTATGGGCGTAAGGGAAAAACCTTTGAAATTGCCAAAGAAGTTCACGGAAGGGTTGATGTTTCCTGGAGGACTTCTGTCAGAGTCACTTCTGAGTAAACTGGAGCTCATATCATCAGGATTGGAGAGAGTATGGACGTTGACGGGTTGAGAATGATTTTGATTACTACTTTGGAAGTTGGCAGCAAATTTGCTGGCACTGCGCGAGAGGCGATGTTGCAGACTTGCTTTCTTCGGCGAAGGGGCCCTGTGGACGTAAGAAAGGTTTGAGAAAAATGTTTCATAGTTGTGAATTTTTTGTACTGGACTTTTTATCATGCAGAATGCACATGCAAGCAAGTTTGAAATAATCAGCTAATGATTCAGAAAGGTTCTGAGTTATCATAAGTCTAGATTCGTCCTTATTGAATTCAATAGTAATAAACAACTACTTTTCTAATCAACAGAGATTTATTATCAAGTTTACTGTCTGCCTAGAAAATACTTGACAAAATCTGGAAGTTCAGTATAAACTATGTTGAAGACACATTGAAAGAAAAAATAACGACTATCTTCTTCAAATCTACTAAATCACAATCTATTAACTCCCTATTTCCGAAAGGCCGATCAATGTTAAAGTCAATTGAATCTTTTGTCAAGTCATCTGATTAGTCAACTTTATATAAAAATTTAAGCATCTCAGTATGAACGCCAGCGTATAAAGTTTCCCTAGATTTTCAATTCTAAAAGAATGAGTATAAGGTTGAGGATATATACACATGCACTGAATTGATTACACCATCCTATTCCGTAAAACAACGGCCAAAATATACAAAATCTTAATAGATAACGATGCTCAATATGCAAGCGTTTACGCGTATACTTTTTACAAATTACCATAAGCCACATGCAACATGCTATTACCGCTTACAACTAATCATGCGTACCTTATTTTTAGAGACCGGATTATATACAAAACATTTTACTATTGACTTGATCTGTGCTTTCAAATTTTGATTGTGATAATGTTTTCACATCAGATCTTTTACTTGTTGGGGTAAATTATTCAAGACTTGAATTCCTTACTTAGCGCGAAAGTGTGGGAACTTTTGTGATGGGGTCAATAACTTGAATATTCAATTACTTGAATGCCTCGCCCAGGGCGAGGAGTGTCAGACTCTTACTGACTAAAAAACCACTCCGTCTCTTCTCCCACTCTATGTCAAGATCGCGGTGCCATATTGCGCTTACCCCGCTACCCTGGCTATCATTAAATATCTCTGAGTACCGCCACAGTGAGACGGAGTGTCAGACTCTTCAAGTGATCTTGAAATCCACATTCGAGATAGATCCACATTAAAGATGTGGATTTCAAGCCATGTGATTGGTGAATCGCGGCACAGCTCTTATCCGCTCCGCCTCAATCAATTAAACTGCACCCTTACTGACTAAAATCTGCTCCGTTCCTTCTTCTGTCCCAGCCGGGACCGCATCTGCGCCCAGCATCTGCTGGGTTTTTGGGTTTTCGGGTCATTGGGCTGGCATTGGTCAATTGGCACCATATTTCAGGTCATTTTTTAATGAATGTTTGCTTTTGTTGGTGCAAATTTGCACTTGAATGTTGTATATAATCCGATTTCTACTTATTACTAAACTGCCATGCAATGTTAGTTAAAGCAAAACTAATAAGACACTCACCAAATGCAGAAACACCCAAAGATTGGTTCAGTCCAACGCATATGCAGTAACGCTTTCATTGAAATAACTTTCTTATTGCATGTGAAATAAGAATTAGTTTTCTTTAGTAAGTGTTACCACAACGCTGTCGACTGTTAGTATTGCCAGGTTTAAAAGTGAGTTGCCAATTGAAAAATATTAGATTTTTATCATCTTTGTCGAGTTGCGCAACTTGTGTAGCTTTTATGTAAGTATTTTTAAACCTGACAATACTTAATGAAATGAGAAAGAGAAAAAAAATTAAAACAAGCAACTAATAGGAAGGAATGAAGGATTATTTTATTAAATAGTGTATAAATCTAATTAAAGTTATCATTAATTACTAACGGCCATTTTCAATAACCTATATGTATCTGTAGCTTTAGATACTAGAAAACCAGATACTACAAGTTGGTTTTATAATTACAATACTAAAAAATTAGAAAAATAAAAAAAAACTGCTTATAATTATCTGTTTGACAAAATGCACTAATCTCCAAAATTACTGAATCGAATTGAATAAAATCTTTTGTGTTGACGAGAAAGGCTTAAAACCTTCATGCTACCACCATTAAACGCTGAGCATTGAGCGAAAGTGCACGGGGTAACTAAATAAAAATAAGATATTGAAACTGACCGTTAATAATTAAAACTACATGCTAGAGAAAACTAAGGTAAAAATAGTTCAATTTATTTACAATATATTTAAAACTTAAATTTATTAAAATAAAAATGTAGTAATTTTAATTTGTGAGCAATTTATAGTAAAATCGTAAATTAATATTAATTTTATTTAAGTAATTTTTATTTGCCGAAAGTATCACAGTTTATAAGATAATTGGGTACCGAGTAAAACAGGGTGGATAACTTACAATAATTTTATACTTAAGATGTTGATGTATAGAAAAAAGCTAATACTTTCCCATTGGTTTAAGATTATAGGTCAACGGTCCGACAGATTACCTGATGGTAAGCAATTAGCGCCGTCCATGGACACACGCAATCACATGGGAGTAACGAGTGCGTTGCCGACCTTTTGGGGACTAGGGATTTGGAGATTTAGGGATTGGGGGAGGGGAAGGATTGGGCCTTCGTTAACCACACTCACACGGCGAAACACAACGCTGTGGTTGTGTTGGTGTGCTCTGGATGGCTACATGGCTCTCTTACAGTTCATTTTATTCAATTATGTTTTAAGTCATGTATCGCAAATCATTTTAGTACTATATATTTTTTTTGAATTATTGAATTTAATATCTATAGACATTAAGTACATAAAAATATTGTTTAATTATCCATCCCGTTTCAGGATAATTTTAGTAATTTTAACTTACAGTTATTTATTTACCCATTAATAATATGAATTCTACCATGCATCTAATACAAAGCAATTTTAAAACTAATTTAAAGGTTTCTACTACTTAATCTAAACTAAAACATACAAAAGAACACTCTATGCATGTGCATGTAAGATCTAAATTAATAATTTTAGCATCTGTCAATAGGAACCGTTATTCTTTGATCGTATGAGCCAAAAATTATAACACTTTCATTCATTACTTTGAAGTTAAATAATTGGCTTGTTTTTCCTTAAAAAAACTTACATTCACGCCATAAATTTCTGAACCGATTGTGATGTATTTTGGCACTTATATAGATGACATCATGTAATAGACATTATTAGGGCGTTGGTATCGTTAGCTTACCTAAATAAATAAGACCATAGATCATGTATTGCCATATAAAGTTTTTAAATAGTTATAAAGAGAACAAATTTGTTTGTTTGGATTGAATGGCCTCTGAAACTACTTGACCGATTTGGAAAATTATTTCACTGTTGGGAAGCTACGCTAAGCTATCCCCGGTGAACAGAGACTATAAACTACGCGAGTAATACCGCGGAGCACAGCTAGTGAACGCATTAGTTTGTTACAATAAAACATTTGGTGTCAGAAAAGTTATTTAACCAAAATAATGAACGAAATTATTATTTTCTCTAATTATTAAATTATAAGTATGTTGACCTTAGTATCATGCCCATAGGAAAATTAGAAGAGGACACAAGATGATTTTAGTCACAGAAAAAGTTTCAAGAAAGAAAGAGATGGATGCTAATGCTAGAATTTTATAATTAAAAAGAGACAACAATATATAAGTAACTCGCTTTTTCTCTATCTAGAAAGTAACATTTTCTGTGACTATTAATCCTAAATTACTTATAACCGATCTTCTCAATCAATCTGAATATTGAATCTCAGTATAAAATTAAGGCAAAAAAAAATCGATCACAATTCAATCATCGTCCCTGATCAATCGAGGTGATTAATGATCAAATCTTTTAACCTCCACGCTTGCTCAAAGCGGATTGGCAATTTTAAACTTTATAACTTGGAAAAAGTCACATTAGTACTTGCCAGGTTTCGAACGAATACGCGTACGAGAAGCTAAGAATTTTTTGAGAGATATCGGTTACTAATATCGGTTATAAGTCTAATATCTCAAGTAACTGTTACTTTTTAGCTTGGTGCAAAGTTTTCACATTGACATACAACTCATTATCAGCGTTACCGTGCATGTTATCACCAACATTGTGCATCCTATGACTGTACGCTACCATCTCATTAGTCGTCGAAGCCAAACCTTGCTTTATTATAACGACATTAGGTTTATTATCGTTTGAAACTCCAACATTAGGTTTCGGAGCTACAAGAGGCTTGTGGGTTTTAATGTCAGTATTACTAGCGATTTTAATATCATCCTTGTTGATTTTTTTCACCGGTTTCTTTAAGGGAAGTTTAGTTTGACTTTTTTCTTGTATAGGCGGTAATCTTTGGTTAGTTTTGAGTTCTTCTAAGTTGGAATAAACGGGGGCTTCTTGTTGAGGGGGATCCGTACAGATATTAGAGATGGAATGGACACTATCGTTTCTTTTGAAGCTTAATAGATTTCTAAGGGATGATGTACTATCGTGGAATTTCGCGAATCTGGTAGCGAACAGTCGTTTAGGCTTAGTATACCCGTCACAAATATTGTTTACGTACGATTTCCGTGGTTTCTTCCACCAGAGGAGCACGTTGTGCCTGGAGTAGTAGATGAGGAACAGCACAAGCAGGATGGCGGGAATGATGCCCAGGAATATCACGTACATCGCCACCATGAAGTTGCGTTGGACTGTAAGAGAAATAGTTTGTGAGATGAAGTTTGCGCAATGCATTTAGCGCAACTTGAAATTTATTTCTATTTTAACTTTAATGATTAATAGCTAATACTCAGACAAAAATCGCCATTATTTCGTCTACGTCGAAAAAATCCTTCGATAAATAAAAATCGTAAATATATTGAATTCTTGCAGTATTAAAGCATACGCATAGATATTTACCAACTGGTATTGCAACTTACTTGTAGGATCTGTAGCAGGGCCTGAGTCTGAAGACCCACCGGGGCCAGGGAGAGCGCACAACGGAGGGGCGAAGCCCGGCTCGCAGTGACAATGACCTGAAAGACGTATAGTTTAAATAAAAAAACATTTTAAAAATTGCCACACTGTCTGTATCTTTGGGGAAAGTTGTTAATGGCCTATTTTTTTAACATATCTTTATTCTAACTCATTGTATGTTTATGATTGGTTTTGCTAGTAAATAAAAACAACAAAAAAAAAATAGAGATATCCCGTTGCTTGAAACATCTTAATTGCACTTTAGATATTATTTTTAGTGAGTACATTTTATTTACGCATAAGCGGTAAAAACATAGTCATGAAAAACTAAACTACGATAGAAACACTGATTATTTGAATAATAAGTATACTCAGATTTGCGCAAGTTGCGCAAGTATGAAAAAATAGTGCGCAAAAGCGTTTGAATAAAATATACTTCTTCTATGTTCTTACCTTCAGAATTACAGATACCATGTCCTGAACAGTTGGACGGACAGACGGAAGACTTGATGGTAGCTATGCGATCCCTTACAACCGCGACTGGCACGCAACGTTGGTTCAGACACATCTACAAAAATTGATATATTTTTAAAATAATTGCCACTTTTTGCTAAGTTGGCGACCCATTTGGACTGGGCAAGCCCGCCAACCCTGTAGTCTGAATATAATTGATTTTTTATTTTACTATTTGACATACTACAATACATTATACATTATATTGAGTCTTGACATGACTTAAATTGTATTGTCCTAACACAAGCATATTCTTTGCTTATAAGGGCATTCCGTGCTGTAATGTATGTTTTTAATTTTATGTTACTGAATAAACATTATTTTTATTATTTAGTTGACTCATTTTTATTTAGGTTTTAATGTCTGCTTTTTAACTTTCAATTTTATTGTTCTCGCAATAGAGTGTCGATTTAGCGCAACCACATTTTTATGACCATCTTCTATATTAGGTACCTAAAACTTCATACACGTAAATTTTACTGATACGCAATGATAATTATATTTTTGTATGCCTCCAATAGGCTGATTATAACGCGCAATTTTATAAGTAATTTATTCTATTTATTGCAGTACCAACTAGTGTACTACAAATAAAGAATCTGTTTCTGAAATTGTAAATTTAAATTGAGAATCTTACCATTTCTTCGCCGCATTTAGCGCCATCGGGCACTAAACCGGGATCAACATCGCTGAGACCCAGATCTATGATGGCTGTTCGACAGGGGATGATTGTACCTGTTGAATTTATAAATTAAATTTAATATTTAATCATTTTTACCTTATGAAACGTCTGTTCCTTCTCCATATCCCATAAAAAAGCTCTACTAACCTACTAGTCACTAATTAACTAATTAAATAATTAACTAATTAAACTTAAAGAATGTCTTACGATAGTTACGATTCAAATATAGAAAATTTTTTGTAAGTAATTGTAGTCAGAAGAGGGTTGTTGTAGTGCAAAAAAAATTTTAGGCGGGATAAACTTTAATAAAACTATACAAAAATTACGAGACACACGCACAAAACTGTAAAATCCACCATAACTTGTCTTGCTCTCTGACGGCCAATCAGTGGCCAGAAATAGCTACACGGCGCGCCATTTAAAATTCTATGGCGCTGGCGAATGGCGGTCGGGCGGCTTGCCCCTATCGGACCGCTCACGACCTAGGGCTAAAATGACGTACGGAAACGTTTTCCGGTTTAATGCAAAATTCACGCAATTTTTAAAACAAACAAATCTTATAGGTTTTATGAAGCTGTTCTGTTCTTATTTTTCATCAACATCGGTTTGATATGTTCAAGTGTGGGAGAGCCATGCTTCAGCACGAATGAGCCTCACAGAAAAACGGCGTGAAACAACCACAGCGTTGTGTTTCGCCGTGTGAATGAGGTTACCGGAGGCCCAATCCTTCCCCTCCCCCAATCCCTCCTCAATCCCTAATCCCTAAATGGTCGGCAACGCACTCGTAACTCCTTCGTTGCGGATGTCCATGGGCGGTGCTGATTGCTTACCATCAGGTAATCCGACAGCTCGTTTGCCGACCTATTACATAAAAAAACCCTAAAAAGATATTCTCGCGGGGCTCCTAAAAATATTCTGTCAGCCTCCAGATTTTAGTAGATCTACCATACCATTATTGTTAATGAAGACAGCAGAGAGTAGGGCGACGGACTCCATTCCAAACTCGAGTCTCTCGTTGAGATGTCTGCACTGCAGGGTCCCGCACATAGCGTCGCGCGGGCTGCACGGTACGTAGCGCTGGTTCAAGCGATCGTACCCACAGTTACCGCTCCTACGACACATTACAATTTAATATTAAGCGTAGGAGAGCCATGCACGAATGGGTCAGCTCGACTAGAATGATACGGCCTCACAGAAAATTGGTGTGAAACAACCACAGCGTTAATTATTTTGTTTTCGGCTTACTCACGTAATAATTTGACGAGATACTCGACTAGTTTCAAGCCATTCTAGAGGCCCATATTCATGAGCAGCATTCATTCATTATTCACGTGATTAAGCCGAAAACATAATAATTAATTTAGAATGTCTCACGAAAGTTATAATAAAAACCACAGCGTTGTTTTTATTTCGCCGTATAAAAATTGCCGGAGGCCCAATCCTTCATGAGATGCACAAAGGTTCCAGTTTATAAGAGATTTTTTCTTCAGTTGATACGAGTAGTATAAATTATATTATAATATGGTTTTCACTATAATAGAAAGTTCTTTCAGTGATATTCTAAAGATCTTTACCGACCTATTACATAAAAAAAGTAATACTAACTTGTTTCCTTTAACGTTGGTGCTGGTATAGCACTTGTCATGGGAGCTTTCACCGGTGGTACCCCACAGTAGACGGCACTGATCAGTATGGGATCGACACGAACCACGAACACAGTAGGCTTTCTATAAATAAATAAAAAAAATCTGTTAAAGTTGAAGGCGAGAAACGTTTGCGCAATTTGCGCTTTTTTGCGCAATTTTACGATTTTTAACACACTTCTGAATAAAATAAAACTTGAATAAAAAAACTTCAAAAGAGTTTTCAAAAATGTTTCGTAATGGCGTGAGAAATTAATAAGTATTCCATTTTTTTTGGGTTTTCGCGGATAGTATTTTAGCTCAAGTCTAAGCGTAACTCAACCTATTATTAAAAAAGAAATACTCCATTACTCATTTGTGAATAATAGTAATGAAAAAGTCACAGTTTGATTATAGGTGTCATTATGTGCCTATTTGCCTTGGGATAAGAGTCACTTTATGAGGAAGTGTGTCGAAAAGATAGTTTACCTCTCCATCTTTTCCGCAGGGCGTGGTATCCATTTTGAAGACATCATCAGGGCAATACTCCGAGTACCCGGTACAATACTCAGGCAGGTCACATTCGCGGTCCGCTGACCTGCAGACTGTACCTGCTGATTTCGGACGACACGTCTGCGAAAAAGATAATAGATTATTGTATTTAATTATGTTAGAAGTTGTAAAGGAATTACATCGAAAAATTGCTTCAAAGATTTATGTGAATGAATAAAAATTGGTATAGAGATACATTAGGTATGAGTATAGTCTGGAATAACAGATTACTAAATTAAAAATAAATTATTTACATTTAATTTTTTTAATTCTTTCTTTGAGGAAGAACCCCTCTGTGGTTTGAAACTAGTCGAGCTTTTCTCAATATTATACACGTGAGTAAGGCTCTAGACAGACGGACTGCAATCCAACTGCAAATTTGCAGTTCGGATGCAGTTTGAATGCAGTTGACACGACTGCAATAGAACTGCAAAACAACTAACCAACCAACCAACACATGACTGCACGCCGACTGCAATTGAACTGCAATCGGACTGCTCGGTTAGTTAGCAGTTCTATTGCAGTCGTGTCAACTGCATTCAAACTGCATCCGAACTGCAAATTTGCAGTTGGATTGCAGTCCGTCTGTCTAGAGCCTAACCCGCGATTTTTAGTTAATTTAGTATGTCTCACGATAGTTAAAAATATATATATGCTAAGTGACGTGAAAACATAAGTCATAATATATTGAAATTTTACACAAAATTCATAGAGAAGTATAATTTTTTGATATTTATATAAAAGTTTTTTTTTAGTAATAGATGACGTTCTCCTGTGTCGTGGATGCGCTCACAAATACAGAAATTCACAGACACAAGCCACCCAAACAATTTGTAGATTACGCCAAGTGATATTTCGCCCGGGAACCCGCGACACGTTGTACAGCATCCAGTAGCCATTGCGCCAACCATGCAGTCAAAGTATTGAATTTAACTATTTAAAAACTGCTTGCAGAAATTACCATAAAGCGAGGTGACTTGGGTAGCTTCCTAGGTCAAAAATAAATTAATTCGACGTTTGAATACAATAAAATATTGAAAAATGACTATACTTTTTTATTCATCGTCCGATCGATACACTAAGTTCATGATTTTTTATAGCTATTTTAAAGAAATAAGTAAGCTATTTGACGCGAAATGTTATGACGTCATAACTCAGTTTTTCAGTTTTACAAATTTAATAAAAAAGTCTCGTTTTTGACGTTTGGATAAAAGTATTGAATTTAACTAGTTGGAAATTACCGTATCCTATTCACCCCGTTCTAGGGGTGAATAGTCACAGAAGAGGGGTGAATAGGGGTCATATTCTATTCACCATGGAGTTTCTTGCTCGTTCTTCTCCATAGGAATCTACACTTTGGAACGAGCAAATAGCTTCACTAGAGGACAGACGAACAAGCGCGGATCCAGACTTCAAAAAAGGTTGTGGTCACAGCTACTAGAAAATCGGCTAAGTACGAGTCGGAGCAAGGAAATGCTCACTAACAATCATGCAAATCGTTTATGAACTTATGAATTAGATTATTTTCTTTTTTCTGAGCATCAGAACTTTGGCCTAAGGAATTTAAATAAACTTAGGAAGAAGTCGGACACGATTTCTTCTAATTTCTAATAGTCAGTTTCGGTCCAAACCTATTTCAATCACAAGTGTATTAAGGTTGTGGGCATGCCCATCGTGCCCACAACGGTGGATCCGCCCTTGCAGACGGACAGACTGACACGCTTAAAGTAAAAGCTCTTGAAATACTTCTTTCCTTTTTTTGCTTGACGTTCAAAAGTGCCTACTGTGGTCTAATTGACATAAATGATTTCGACTTTGACTTTGATTTCACCCCGTTTTCAATAGTTATTTTAAACGCTACATATATATTACCTGTAAATCGCAGCACATGCCAGCCCCACAAGTGGCGTTGGACCGCAGCATACAAGTGAGTGGGTCGCAGCAAGCGTGGCACGGGTTGAAGGCGCGCGGGTCCGCCATACTGCCGCAGTCACATTGCTCGCCCGGCTCCGTGAACCCATTGCCGCACGTCGGCGAGTCAAATAGACGTTTTGGTTTGTTTCTGTAAAAACATATATTTATATATATTTAGTTAACTTTAACTCTTCAGTTCCCACTTTCAAAGTAAGTTTTACAATTTTAGTTTCATCATCAGCCTATAAGTGCGCACTTCTGAGCTAAGGCCTCTTCTCACACGGAGAAGGTTTGAGCATATTATCACCACGCTCACTCAGTGCGGGTTGGCGATTTCAAACTTATAATTAGAAATTAAAGTCCAGGTTTCCTCGCGGTGTTTTCCTTCACCGCGTGTCAGTGATGTCTAAATAATCATAGAAAGTACATATAACTCGGAAAAAGTCACATTGGTACTTGCCAGGTTTCGAACCCACACCCTCATGCATGAGAAACGGGCTTCTTAACCTCCACGACCTAATTTTAGTTTGATGATCCGGTAAATATGTGTTAATTTAAAACGAAAAATAAGAAAAAAATTATTTACAGGATACCCGATTTACAGGGTAGTGAAATTTTCTTTTCTGCCCAAATAGAAAAAAATATTTTACATCACTTTAAAAAAAAAACATTTTTTTAACCTACATCTTTAGTAAAATTCTTTCACTGATAGATAGCTACAATTTTCCTGAGTGCTATATGATGTGCCACGTCTGTGGCAGACGGATAACCTGACGGTAAGCAATCAGCGCCGCCCATGGACGTTGTGAGTGTGGAGGAGTGCGGAGTGCGTTGCCAACCGGTGCGTTTGGGGATCAAGGATTTGGAGATTTAGGGATTGGGGGAGGGGAAGGATTGGGCCTACGGTAACCTCACACGGCAAAAAATAACGCTGTGTTTGTTTCACGCCGGTTTTCTGTAAGGCCGTGGTATCAATCAAGTCGATCCGACCCATTCGTGCCATAGACAGTTTACCTAAAGATAGTATTCAAAGGACTTACCTCAAGCAATAATCCATTCCACGTTCAAAAGCCAAGGCTATAGAGCTCAAACTGCAAGAGGACCAATGCACCGGTGTCACAGATGTACTAGAAGGGCTCATAATGCACTTCGCATCAGGGCACTTGCAGAGGTCATCGGTGTCATGTTCCATACCGAAGTTATGACCCATCTCATGAGCTATGGTGGTTGCTACAAGGCCAATAACTTCCGAATGATTCGTCGATACGCCTCCAGAGAACTCGTACGTACATATTGGGCCTTTCAAGGCCTTTCCTACTACACCGTCGTTGAATTTTTGGCGGCTGGAAATATAATATTATTATTATTATTCATCTATGCTAATGTTATAAAAAGGTAAAATTTGCAAGTTTGTAAGTAGGGGGTAATCTTTAGAACCGCTGGTCGGATTGCCAAAATTCTTTCACTGATAGATAGCTACAATGTTCCTGAGTGCTATAGGCTATAAAACATCACGCTACGATCAAATGGAGCTGAGCAGCGGATGAAAAAACGCGACAGTAGCTAGTTATTAATAAAAAGAACTTACGTCAACAACTGAGCGTTGTCGTTAGGTATGTCTCTGACAAGCACGGACTTGCGGTATCCGAGGAAATTGTTGAGAGTTCTATCCCCATTCTCTTCAAGATGGATCTCATCATTCTCTGTCCATACTACAACTCCTACTAAAGCTATGAAGACGTTCAATGGAGTGTATACCTGGAAATAATATCAAACATATACAAGTCTTACGAATGCATATGAAGACCTTTTGATAAGCAGTATTTAAGTATGGAAGAGCCAAGCTTCGGAACGAATGGGTCGGCTCAAGTGGAGTGGTACCACGGCCTCACAAAAAGTTTTAGTCGTGTGAGTGAGGTTAAATTAAATATCATCCCCAAACCTTAAATATCTGAAACACTTATCTCCCTAAAAGGCCGGTAACGCATTCGTAGTTTATTTGATGTTGCGGGTGTCCATGGGCGGCGCCGATTGCTTACCATCAGGTAATCCGTATGCTCGTGTCCCGACCTATACCATGATTTTTAATCAAGAGCACGTCGCGTAAATAAATTGATAGTAAGTTATTTAATTTTAGGACATAAACTTACCGAGTTAATAATATTAGCGACGTCCTTCATCTGTCGGTAGACCGTCTGTATGTTCTCTCCGTTCGCCTTGTACTCCCTATTGTCGGCTACCAGTACCAGTTCCACGTAGCGCGACAATTTGTTCGCGTTATAAGGCCCCCTTACTTGCGTATCGTCTGACGCGTATCTTTTGTACTGGAATTGAGGAAATATAGTTATTTATGTGGAAAAATGACACAAAAACCGTTAATAATGACAAAATATTAGACGATATTATGGTACATTTACGTGTCGCTGATGTCGCTACGTTACACGATATTGAAAATCAACATATCGTCGAAATTCGATATTTGATTCTGATGGAAAGCAAAAAGTTTAAAATAAATCTAAAAGTACTCTCAATAAAAATTCTGAATTATATCTGAATTAAATATATGATAGTATGATTACCAATCATACTTTGACTCGAGCTTATTGAAATTATTTATTAGACAACTAATATAAATACCGAGGTTACTTCAGGTAACCCTTGTAGCAGGATAAAGGAACTTAAACAACAATTAGCCTGATGACTATTAGTACGAAAATAAACTCTATGCACACAAAAATAAAAACTATATTACAAAACTTTCAAGAATTTGACCTCATCACGGGTCGTACAAGCTGTGGTAACTGCGACATTTATCTAATTACTTCATTAAGAGGTCCAATTGAACGTTAAATTAGCGACTAAAGGTCCAAAGAGCAATGCAAGATGACTGGTAATTGGTAATAGGACGATAAGAATGGAAAAGAACTGTTTTCTCTTACATCTAGAGGACAGGCGGACAGACTGACACGCTTAATTTTAAAGCTCTTGTAATACTTTTTCCTTTTTTGCTTGACGTGCAAAAGTGCCGACTGTGGTCTAATTGAAATAAATGATTTTTGACTTTTTTTTTTGATCTTGTTAACTATATTTTGGCGAGTTAACCAATTCTACTTATATTATAAACGGAAACTTTGTATGTATTTTTTGTTTTTGTTAATAAAAAAGCGTTGCCTTAATCTAGGATTTTCTCCTGTGTCGTGGGTGCGTTTACAAACATACAATTTCACATGCACATCACACCCAGACCCGGAACAACAATTTGTGAATCACACAAAGAGTTGTTACGTGCGGGAATCGAACCCGCGACACGTTGTGCAGTCTTTCTTGATGTTTATCACTCTTTCACGTAAAAACTTCTGAATCGATCTGAATTAAAGGGACAGAGATAGAAATATTTTGCCCTGAAGCTGACAGAAATTGTTATATAATAGTACCTAATAAATTATTATTAGTAATCCCTAAATCTCAACCGTTATCCCCAAAAGGTCGACAATGCATTCGTAATCCACGTCTATTGACGTCCCATCACATAAAAAAATGCGGAATTCGTCCAAAGATACTTTTGGCAAAAATGGACATATAAATAAAGAATGTTAAAGGTTTCCAAGGTCTACTTACACGACTAGCCCTGCTTCTCTGCATTTCCTGTTCACTGGTATACTTCTTGAAGAGATGGGGGTCGTAGCTTTCGTTCTTTGTCACCCCGCCAACGTATCCACAATGGAAGTTGGTGTTTAAGTCTCCATGGTCGTAAATGTAGTGGTTCGACTGTATGCTCGGCCCTGAGAACAGAAAATATGTATTATTAATACATAGTATAAAAAACAAAGTCGCTTTCTCTGTCCATATATCCCTATGTCGCTTAAATCTTTAAAACTACGCAACGGATATTGATGCAGTTTTTTTATTCGTTAAGAGTGATTGAAGAGAAATGTTGGTTGGTTGGAATGTGAAACATTTTAAAATAAAGCTTAGCAATGGCTGATAGAAAAATACTTTTATAAAATAGAAGAATTTATGCAATACAGGATTGTATTATTATTGAATATGATTATTTGTCTGATAAATAGTATTTAATAATATATTATAATATGTTGATTTTGTTTTAATACAATTTATTTTAAAATTCTATTACTTTATAATAATATCTGTACGCCTAACATAGGCAGAATACTATTCTTTCTTTCATTCTTTCTTTCTTTGAAAACGATGAGAAATAAATTAAAGTTTACCTTCAGCCGGTTCAATGTATCTCATTCGTTCTCCATCGAAAATGGTACCTCGGACGCCATGACAGGTGGACACGGCCACCCACGAGCCAGGTTTGCCTCTCACCGTGCCCGAGTACTGACATAAGTCTATATCCTGGAAATATTAAAAATGTATATTATAGCGTGAATAAGGTAACTGGAAATTCAATACTCCTCCTGCTTATCGCTAATCTCCAAACGGCCCACAACACAGTTATATCTCCTCAGTATCAGCAGTTATAGGAGCCGACTTCTTATCACGTGTCTGCTACATAGCATAAGGGGCCTTTGCTGGCTTAGTAGGTACCTTTAAGCAGTTCAGAATAGCCAGTTATCGTTACCTAAAACTATATTATAACTTCAATACCAGGGGATGACCTCTGGCCTATTTATTGCAGTTATTCAATGCGTTTCTGATCCTAAAGAAAACTGTTTGATTTGCAGCATCCTATACGAAAACAAGAAAATTTCACAGGATTTTGTTGGTACACAAAGAGCAGTCCAATTTACTTCGTCGTGTTTTTGTTTTATTTCAGATTGATTTACTTGAATCTACTAGGTCAACAAAGTTAGTCCAGTTATAGATTTTATAAAATAAATGATTTGGTACACCATCAAATTAATATAATCATCGAAGCATGATCGCAAATTAATGATGCAACTTCACAGGTGACCGATTCTTGCGACAACAACAGAAAATTTAAATTTTAAAAGTAATATCACAAACGTTATATAAAACAGAGCATCTACAATTATAATAATTTAGTTGTTGGCAAATGTATTTTGAGGAGAAAGTCAGAAAGCGTTTAAAACATTTACATTGCTGTTCTTAAAAAAAAATACTTTTGTTACGCTTGACGCCACTGTGCGATTTTGGAATTAAATCCTTAGTGCTATCATTATAAATGCGAAGTTTGTAAGATGTTTTTTATGGAGGCAAACGAGCAGACGGATCACCGATGACCAGAAACACCAGAGGAGTCACAGCCGTTGCCGGCCATTTATAGAGTATGCTCTTTTGAAGGTTTTGCTGTACGAGGTAGAAAATTTCGCGACGACTGCAAACTATGATGGGTTTGATGGCAAAAATATATAGTGGGGATCAAACCGAACCATTCTTTGGAGCGTTCTCCGTGGTATAGGCGATGGAGAACACATAAGACTACATCTCTACGCAGTGCCAAAGAGTCTAGCCTGTCCGAGACATCAAGGCAATCAAAGACACGAACGGTTCGTCGCTGAATGCAGATGAATGTTATTTACATCATATTACTAGCATTTGTCGCGCGGTTTCACTCGCTGCTCGGCTCTTAAAAATCATAGCGTGAAGTTTTATAGCCTAAAGCCTTCCTTCATAAATGTACTAACAACCACACAAAACCAGTAGTTTTGGAGATTAGCACGTTCAATTAAGGAAACTCCAGCTTTATAAATTAGTATAGATTTTCCATAAAAGTACTTAAAGGATCTCAATGTTTGGCACAGAGGTAGACTATAGTCTGGACTAACATATAGGCTATTGTTTAGCCTTGTACTGCCACTGGCTGAAGCTGGTGTCCAATAAGATAACCTTCAAAATTACCTTCAAAATACTATTATAGCGCACAAAAGTCTTTAACATTTTCTTACCTCTTTCTTAGGTTTATGTAAGACAGTCTTGCCGTTCTTTTGGTACCTAAGTACATGGTTGTCTGTGACTAGATCCAGGTTCAATCTAAGGTCCAACACGTATTCTTGTCCGTCTATGGGAACCGTCACTGTCACTTCTGGATGATGTGCACCGCTCTGAAAGAGAATTGATAATTTAGCTAGATTTTCAGTTGGTGTGGGGTTTACAAAGAACTTAAAAGAAGATGTCAGATTCAAATAAAAATTAAAAATATAAGGTTAATTTTATCAACTTTTAGGTTTAATAATTTGTGCGTGGAAGCACCATTTAAGCAACGATATTATTATGCTTGTGTTCGAAATTTATCTGAAATTATTTTTCGATTCAGACCAGACGCTATTTGATCGCTACATTCAATGAGGCAATTTTATACTGGCATAAATCATTATACTAAGTTCTACTAAAAATTAAAGTAATATTGTCTTACACAGACAATAATCATCAATTCAATCCATTGATTACTTTACGTCCACTAAGATCGTCATTTTGGGATATGCAATGAAAAAATAAGTTAAACGTTTGATATAAACACTAGATATTAACTTCATCATTGCTTAAACATACGCTACATATATTATGTATCAATTCAGAAACTATTGAGTTTCTTGCTCGTTCTTCTCCATTGCTTGCTCCATCAATGTTCAATACAGCACAACCTCAATAGAAACTCCAGGGCCCAGAAAGTACTGTTCTCATTTTAAAAGCAGAGCTTTCCTTTAGACAGTTCCTCCGCAAACCATCAAACAATCATGAAAAGATTAGTCACCACAAAATAATCGGCTACAACCGAGTAATTTAAGAAACCGTTAGGAAATGGCAATTTTGCCGTTGTACAGAGGTCGCTGGCAGAGAGGCTTCCGTTCCGAATGGTATTCCACAGACCTATAATCTTTACACGCAATGCGAAGAAGGTGATTTGATAGCCTTATATTTCAAGTAACGCACTTAACATTGAGGTTTAAGCTGACATATTATTATATTATGTTATATGCATAGCATTGTGTTATAGGAAGTTGTGTAAGAATTTCGTCAATTAGCCCTTCATGATCGTTTAGGAAGAACTACGCTCGTTTCTAGAAGGTTCGTAGGTCGTATCGGTTCGGGAATACCGCCGCCGTAGTTATGATTAATAATGAGTACAGATTATCAGACCCCGATTATCGGATGACCAAAGACAGGCGCTCTTTGAGTACCAGAATGGTTCTTCGTATCAAGACTTAAGAATAGAAATAGTGGATTCTGGGTGGAGGAACAACATAATTGATTTACAAAGCCTTTTATTTATCCCCAATATTTTGTTGTGGTTCCGATTTCCTACGTTACGACATAAATAAACCTTTTTTCATCACTACATAAAATAAAGCAGAAATCTCTGTCCCCATGTCTCTATGTACGTTTAAATCTTTAAAACTACGCGACTGATTTTGATGCTGTTTTTATAATACAAAGATATTTTTCTCTTACTCTGATTGAAGAGGAAGGTTTATCTGTATACTAACATCTATTGAATCGTGGAGAAATTTAGTATCAGCATTTCACCCGTGCGAAGCCGGGGCGGTACGCTAGTTGCTAATAATAGTCACTGCTTACCGTGTCTCTAGTTGTAGAGATTTCTCTTCTCGTTCTACCATGATGTACAGTGGGCTGAACTAGTCTGTGTTTATTAAAGTCTAATGCAGGCGGTCCTGGAACAAAGAAAATACCATAATTAATACATATTCATATTATTTTTCATATATATATTAAATTAGCAGACCCAGCCACGCGTTGCTGTGGCTAAGGTAAATAATATTGTGACTATACATTGAGATGTAAGCTATTCTATCTTTCAAGTTAAATAAAAATGTACACGGAATGCAAATCAAATTTAAAATCGGTTTAATAGTTTAGGAGGCCATCGCGGACACGTGACACGAAATTTTTATTTAAACAGGTTTTAATTGATTTTCGCCAACTTATACATACATATATATACCATAGTTTTTGTCCATGAAGCGTATAAAATAAATGAATATTTTTTAAGGTTATGTTAGTTAGACTTCAATTATCTATAAAAAGTTTAACTGCTCAACATAGGCATATACTTTTTTTTTCTGAATTGCAAACTAGTCTCCAATTCAGTATTGTCGAACATAATGCCAGTGTCCATCGTCATATCCACAAATCATATCATTGAAAATTCTTCGGTATTGTAATCTTAATGGCATATGTATAGTTGACACCTTGTCAAATTTGATGTCAATCGAAATGTCAATAGTTATGACGTGTGACGTGATCACATTTTTGAGTCAAATAGCAGTATTATTTCTTAGAAAAAAAACACTTAAACAATTATACGAGAAAACAAAAATTAAGTAGGTATTTCGTGAAAGTATAACTTTTTGAGTTTTCTTTATTAGAATTTTTACATACACACAACATAGGAACTACCAATTGGGCGGTTACCAATGAAACTCTACTAACGAAGCAAGCATCATATAATAAATTAACCGTTTAATTATTCAAACTTCCCGTACAACTTCTTAGATTAAAAGATAGGAATAAAAAGGCACAGGAAACGCATTCACTTTGCCAATAAAATTATTCACTAGAAGAATTTTAATTTGCATACACCATTGTGCCGTTACCGCGAAACTTCTTTGTTTTAACTTTTAAAACCGTGAAGGAATTATTGTTACGTTGATAGGCTGTTTGTATTTCTAATTTATGAAGTTAGACTGCAAATTTTAGACATATCTTGCCCAAAAGATCTTTATTAAGTGGCGGTAATATTTTATTTATGTGTTTTATAAATGTCGTGGAGGCCCGGAGATGTTCCAACGGAGGGTTCGAAACCTGGCAAGTACCAATGTGACTTTTTCCGAGTTACATGTACTTTCTATGATTATTTAGACACCACTGACATACGGTGAAGGTAAACATCTTGAGGAAACCTGGACTTATAATTTCTAATAATAAGTTTGAAATCGCCAACCCGCATTGAGCAAGCGTGGTGATTAATGCTCTAACCTTCTCCGTTCCGTATGAGAAGAGGCCTTTGCTTAGCAGTGGGCACTTACAGGCTGATGATGATGATGAATATTTCATTTGAGTGAGTTTTGCACTTATGGTATCTTTAGTGTATCATGAATCATTTTTATAGTTTACGATCAAATGACTTATATCGTCTTGAGTGGGACTAAAATGCCAGATTCTTACGGCCTTATTACAAAACAAGGTTTTACTTTAGTCTAGGACTAAACCACTGAGCCAGTTTTTGTATTTCGAATTGAAGGTAGATGACAATAAGGTTCAAAATTCAAAACCCGACTCAATGGTATAAACCTGGACTAAAGATAAATCTTGTTTTGTAATAAGGGGGTTATTGACTAAAAACCACTCCGATCTATATCCTGCTCCAGACAGGAGACGTAGTGTGTTATTTCGTCAGACCCTCAACCCCGGCTGAACATCAGCCCTTTTGGGCCCCATCTGTGGTGGTCTATTAGGTCTATGAGGCACACATGGAACGCTACGTCAGCTCGAGTCTGGTTCTGGTCTAGCGATGAGCTACAATTTTCTTGTCGTCCGCAGATCCGCGCTTACGATAGCAGTGGATATGTTACTGAACTTAAAATCTGAGGAATTAATTACTGTTATGCGAGAAAACAAAAAAAAAATTGCGTCAAATGCCAGAAAAATGTCTGGTCAGCGGAAAATAATAACAAGCAAAACAAATTGTATTGTTAAACATAACAAATAAACTGTCATTGATTTGTTTTTACTGATGCATGCAAAATTATTTGTTTACCAGAATACAATAAATAAAGCTATCAATATAATTTTCAAATTATGCTGACATTTCAATACAAAACTGCAAATTCTTTTGCTAATACATATACATCATCTACGTGCAAATTCCGAAGTACTGATTCATAAATGACGTATGACACAAAAACGACTTACTCTACATAAGAAACATTGAAATACAAGCCATCAAAACATGGCTGGGTTGCAGGGTAAGCGCAATAAGGCACCGCGGCCTCAGTGAAGAGCATCCAAGGAACGAGAGGGAGAGGGTTTCGGGTATCGTCAGAGTCTGAGACTGCCTCTCCCCTCTCCCTGTTCCCTAGCAGAAGTCATTTGATGATTTTCATCTCACAAAAAAGCCATCAAAACATTTTCAGGTATTCAAAACGATCAACAAAAACAAATACACAGAACAAAAATTCAGTCAAACGACTCATTAAAACCAATCGGCGTTCTATTAAAAGAACGCGACAGGTTTCCTCATCAAGTGTACAATGATGAGCAGGCGCATGCCGCATTGACCAATCATGCGACAACACAAAATTGTATCTAGGTCCAACGACCGGCGTCATTATACCGCCAGCCACGGATGAATGAACATGTGTTGACAACGGTAATTTGCTCGCAAAAAAAACTTGCAATTAGTAAAATTAATTGCTGTGTCATTGTAATATTTTTTCGGGAGTACACATTATGCAAATAGCTTTTGTTTTTTTCGTCTGCCTGTCTGTCTGTGTGTCTGGGTTTTTGTATGTATGTTCTACTAATGATACCGTTCTCGTTATTGTTTTTTTTATTGTTAATCCATTTTTACTTTCGATGACGAGGTATGATTTAAGAATAGTCGATTGTTTTTTTTATCTTATTTGATTGAATAGATCAGACGTTATATTTTTTGGTCTCTTAATTAATTCCGGACGCGATCCAATAAGTAACATATACATAAACAAGAAACAATTAATTCTTACAAAAATGAGTATCACCACATAGCTATTATGAACGCATTCTGATACCACTACACTGAAAAGTGGGTAGGAGTCATTTTGACCCAAAAATTTCCAAATTAAGCACCAAATAACCAAGTCTTCGTCATATGTTCACCCTAGCGTCTAGAAATACATATTATTATCGACGATTCTACGCATGCGCAAGCCGGCTAAACGGTAACAAAATCGTCGCACACGCACCTCGCCCGCCATTGTACAAGACGCATTGTTATCCGCTGAATTGGTGTCAGTGGTACTCTTGGACACTTCTTTGTGAGATTTTAACGTTTCTGTAAAATTTCCAAGTAGATAACGGTTTTTAAAGTTATTTTATTATTTTATGCTCATTGCTTACTAAGTAGATCTATGTCAAAGTCATACTTTACTATATTTTACTAAAAGAAATGAGTTATTTTGAAACCGAATAAAATTTTACCGGACGGTATTTTTTTCAACGATTTGAAACCTGAATGAAACTAAATAAGTTGGGATCAGGGATCAGTATTGAGTTTCAAACAGGTTTAAATTTGGTCATTATTTCCCGTGAAGCCATTTGATGAACGATCATCTCTCCTAGTATTATAAAAAATCAAACATGGCAGCAAAAGACTTTTAAGGAAATTGCAAGCCAAAAATATCAAGATATCTCGTTGTATGCAACTTGCATTCTTATATACTCAATAATATATGAACATAACCAAATTAGTGTTCACTAGGTTTATAATGATTTGCAATTGCAAAATATTTTGCGAATCCAGTTTTTCCTTTCAACGTTTGCCTCGCAGCATGATTGCCTCCTGTATCGTGGGTGCGATTACAAACACTCCCGTGACAAATAGATAGATCCGAAACAATAATTAATGGATCATAAAAACAGTTAGTTGTCCTGGGTAACCAAGTCCGCGATATACATTACGCGACAGCCAGTTGCCCAGCCACCGCACTAACCGCGAAGTCTTAATTTTATTAATTAACACTACAATTGGAGCGGACGTTACATTGTCGAAATAAAACAAAATCGACTGACTCTGGTATTAATTAAATTATTTAAGAACGAGCTACAAGATGCGAATAACTAACGCTTGTTATGTTAAATGGTAACCTTAAAACAATTAGGCCTTGAGATCTTAATTATGATACAGATGAAGCAGATATTGGTGTCTGCACAAATAATGTAGAGCCGACACAACTGTATTTGTGACAATAAATTCATATGATAATATAATGACAATGTATGTGGGTAGGGGACTATATGATCCTTAGATTATCTTTTTTTGAGTGGGAATATCATGACATGACTTCTCTCGCTCGAGGTGGGACTAGAGAAAGTATCAAACTCATAATGACTAAAAACCAATCATTCTCTCATCCACCTAACCTCGTAACCACCCCACCACCCACCTAAACTCATCACGTTAGCTCTCTTCCTAAATCACGATTGAAGATTCATTGAAAATATTTACAACGAGAAATGCTCTACTAGTTACAAGTCATGACGGGACTCCTATTTATGAGCAGCGTACGCGTCGTTGCGATATCAACCGACTGCGTTTTATCAGTTAATAATATATATCACGATAGATAAGTACTAGGTAATAAAAGAAACTGAAAATTACTATTTGTCAAGCAGTTTACTAGGCTACATTTACTTTTGTTTTGGGCCTTACCAGCAAACTTCCTAAAATGGTGTAAAACGTAATAGCGCGAATTCTGAGTACACTATTTAACACGGCCAAACATTTGAAAGGACATTTTAGTCACACTTAATTAAGAGCTGTCTGTCAATGTCCTAAATGGGCAAATATCTAAATACCACACGCATCGCACTCCCGCCTGTTTTGGGCTGGCCCAGATAAACCGGACTATTTTTAGCCTTTCACAAAACACTTTGAAGTGCGAACATTACTTCC